TAAAAGTAGTTTCCACTTTAGGTACTAGAAGGTCAACTTAAAATAAATTCAGCTCTTACTGTACAAGAGAGCCTAAAACTCCAGAGTTACGGTGCAACATGAGAAGAAAGCAATTAGCTGATTATTGACTGTGCAAGTCTGACCTACAAATGGAAACCCCACAAAGCTTTTTGCATTGTGGTGGTGCCCATCATTTAGTTTTATTCTAAATACCAAAAACAGCAAACTGAGTACTATATTCTTGGGGTTTAGGGTGTGCCAGTAATCTATTAAGCTTGTTACCTTGTTGAATTTTCACACTAACTCTGAGGCACATAGTAACACCCTTTAATGATGTACAAGTGAAGGCTCAGGAAGGCTGGACAGTAGCCAAGAGTCACAAAGGTAGAAATGGTAGTATTCACAGGTCAACGCCATGTCCGTCAAACTCCAAAATTTCATATTCTGAATACTACTCTTAGAATACTCAAGGACATAAATTTGTTCTTAAGTCTAAATGATTTTCTATGTGATCATGAAAGCACAGGAGTCAAGAGTCTGAAATGTGATGCTTTCTCTTCCTGACATAATCCTCCAACTCATGAAAGCTGGGAAACGTTTCCAGTCCTCTGTCTCCTCATCTCCCCCATGTCGTATTCAAATGCATAATAACAAGACTTTAGAAATGCATTAATATTTAGTGTTACTAAAGTCACCAACTGTCAATCACTGCTGTTGGAGACTGCATATTGATTGGTAAGCCCAGTGAGAGGACAATTTAGCAATATGTGTCAAACACCTAAAAAAGGAATTTAATTTTAGTCAGCATTTCCACTTCTAAGAATTTACCTTGGAATAGATTGCATAAAAATTTATCAATAAAGGCATCTCTTGTAATTTTATGACAGCAAAAAGAAACAACCTAATTGTCAAATAGTAATTTTGATAAATAATTATATTTCTGTATACCACAGGCTCATAAATACAACCACTGAAAATTCTGTAGAGGAAAGTGACGTAGGAAAACGTTCTCAATAAAATAAATGAAAAAATGATCATAAATTATTTCCATTGGTGTTTAAAGTGTGTATGTACTGACATCTATCCAATGCTAAAATTTAATCTAGAAAATGGAATTATTAGTGGTTTTTAGTTGCTTTGCTTTTTTCTGTGTTCAAGGTTTTTTTTATAAATACATACACTTGTAAAAGTAAAAAACCATGGTTCACCTTATGCGAGAAGTAAGCCTTCCTAAGTTTATAGCAAAATCAAGCTCTCAAATCTTTTGTGACATATGCAAAATAGTTTTTAGGGCTTTTATTGAAGTGTAATTTTTAAAATAATATAATAGTTTATTTTTACATCATTTTGTGCCCTTTTTAACATCTCAGTTGTGAAGTGTAAGTTACATACAGAAAAAGTATGTCTATTACAGTCAACTGTGCAACAAAGCAACTGCAAACAACATCTCAAACAGCATTGTCAATACTCCAGAACACTGTCTTGTCCTCTTCCAAACACTACTTCCCACATGGGAAGTTGTCAAAGTTGTCACTTGTATTGTTTTACAGACAAGCATTGTATGAGTCCACTACAATTTATTTATCCATCCAGCTACTGATGGGCATTTGATTAATTTTCTACTTAGGACCATAATGAATAGAGCTGTTCAGTTATTTTCTTTTAAAGATTTACTTATTTATGCATACAGAACTGGGGTACAGGTCAGAGGTGTGGAGCAGTGAGAGGATTCAACAGAGTGGGAAGCAGGACAGGCAGATTGACAAAGTCAATTGACTGCTGAGGGGAGCAGCGGGTGGGTCAGGAGAGGTCTCCCACGCCATGTGGGTTCACTTCCCTGGCCAGGGACCAAACTGGTGCTTCAGTGGCTGCAGTAGCTTGATAGTCTTGCACTTTAACCCCTTGTACCAGCTCTGGGAGAGCCCAGAGCTGTTAGGTTTCTTGGTGAACATATGTATGCATTTTTGGACAAACTTAAGAATGGAGTTACTGAGTGACAACTAATTTTTAAAAAATTCATCTGAATCAGGATATTCTCACCAAAACTGCATTCAGGGGCCTCCCTGGTGGGTTAAGTCTCAGCACTATGAAGCTGTCAGCAGCCACTGCAGCACGAGTTCTTTCCCCAGCCAGGGAACTGACCCACATGGTGTAGCAGACATCTCCTGTCTTGCCTGCTGCTCCCCTCAGTAGTGTTACAATGGATTTGCCTGTTCTGCTCCCCACTCTGTCTCGGGTGGGTCCTCTCACCCCCTGCACCTCTGGTGTTCACCATAGCTCTGCTATGCATAAATAAAAATTTAAAACCTGCATGCAGTCCAAGACATAATTTGTATGGCTTATAATTTATACTTTATATATGCCCTTGCTAATGGGTACATTTTAATTTCCTGTTAAGTTTCACATATGTGAGAGAAGAGATATATATATAGTTCTCAAATGTTATTTGGAACAAGAACTAGAGAACTAGTGGACTCCACTGCAGCAGTCAATCTACATCAGGTATTTTACATTAAAAATTTCCATTGTAAAACTGGGGGAGTTTCCTTAAACTGCTTAACATGGAGCTTCCCTACAACCCAGCAATCCCACTCCTAGGTATCTACCCAAAAGACACAAAAACAATGGGGGTGGAGTGGGGAATGGGATCAAAAATGGGGGGGTGTCAGGGAGGGAAGTGCACGGGACTATGGTGATGGCACATGGGTGACTTGGTGATGGGAAACCCACGGGGATTATAATTGAGGGGAAAAAACGTACAAAATGATGTAAAAATAAACTATTATAAAAAAATTTCCCATTGTGCACAGAATGATGTCAAAATAAATATTATATTATTTTAAAAATTTCCCATTGTGGGCTTCCCTGGTGGCACAGGCATTAACATCTCACCTACCAGCCACTGCGGCATGAGTTCTATCCCAGCCAGGAATCTGATTCATAGCACAGCAGACCCCTCAGCAGTGTATTTCAGTAGATCCACCTGTTCTGCTCCCCACTCGTCTCTGGTGAACCCTCTCACCCCATCCCACCTCTGGCCTACACCCCCATTCATCTATGCATAAATAAAAATAAATCTTAAAAGAATAATAATAATAATAATAATAATTTCCCATTGTTTGACAACTTGTTTTTTGTGAAACACTGTGCTCTTTGCTCAAAATACAACAAAGGCGATTCCCCAGAGCACTTGCACCTGCTACACCTCCCACGGGGAAAGGTACTCAGGCCAAGAACTGTACTACAGCAAAACTGCTGCCACCACCTGTACTCCGGGGCTCACTTAGGAGCAGGGGAGTGTGCCTTTCTTCGCCTCCCAAGGTTTTTAGTAAGTGCATAAAACCATGGACATCTATTTCTCAATAGACTGACTTCTCTGAAGGGAAGCAAGAAGTCCTTTCCAACACCTAGCAGAGTCCTTGCTTATCACAGAGGCGCAGCCTTAAAATGTATTCTGCTTGAAATGGATGGAAAGATTTTACTGGCAGGTTGACCAAAGGTAGAGTCAATGATTGAGAAAATCTTTCTCCGTGGAACTGAATTAACAACTTCTCTGTCCAGCATTGTGGCTCAGCAAGCCCCCTGCTGTGGAATGTCCTATACAACATGATTTATTACTAGTTACCAATAAAAAGAACAAGTTACAAGTCCTCTAACTATATAACATTTTATAGTTTAAAAAGTCAAATGCTGTGTGTTTCTAGAGATATCTATGTATGTAAGAGGCCTGAAAGGTTACACAGCATACTAATAGCAGCAGCTATTATTAGGAGAGAGTAAGGTCGCTTGTGGCATCAAGGAAATTTGACTGTCTAGAATGTTTGATTTCCCCACCCCCACAAAGCTTATATATATATGTTATTTGTGTGATTAAGTTGTTTAAAATTTTAAAATACTTTTCCTATTTTTAGCAATTTCTCTACTACTTTAATACGACTTTTTTTTTTTTAATACTTAACTATTCTCAAAGGGAAGAACACTAATAGACTTGTCTCTGGCACTGCTAGTAGGTTTATTTCCTAGGCGTAGATGTCCGACTACTTTCTTTCTCCATGAGCATCATGACAAATGTACCGAAAGAAACAGGAGTCCCTTAAGTCCGGTCTGTTACCATCAGAGCCTTCAAGAGAGCCTCCTGTAAAGGGAGGGCAGACTTCGATTTCGGAAGCCAGAGGAAACAGGCAAGAAAGTTCCACATGTTAAAAAAGTACACTCAATAAAACTTAAAAAAGTGCGTTCTCCAAGACTGCACATTCCTTCCGTGGTGTCGGAAAGCACAGAGAAGGGAGTGAGGAGCGCCAAACACCTGCGTAAGGTGCTTTAATTCTACGACAGAAGCAGGAAAAGGAAGATTTAGTGGAACAGAAACAGGAGGTGGTGCAAATATGTCCAACCAGTTACAGCGTCCCAAACAGTGTGTTCTGTTTGTAGCGCTGGCACACTACTCTTTCTCATACGAGTAGGGCTTAGAAAGCACGAGTCCAGGTCGAACCCTGCCACTAACCACGGTGTCTCCGACCCATCAGCGTTTTTCTCCACGGCGGTTTCCTCAATGCATCAAAGGAGATGGGGATGTTGGGGCGCACTAAGGCTGAAGCGCAGCCATTCTCTGACAGCCCGGGACGGGCAGGCGAGTGCCTCTGCTGCAGGGTCACCGAGGGGGAGCGGATCCTTCCCACAGCTCGGCCGGGGCTCTCCGGGTGACCGGAAGAAGACGGCCTAGTGCGGAGCTGCAGCGCACCGCCCCCTCCAGGCACCGGTCACTCCCGACCGCAGCAGTCAGGCACCCACTCCGGAAAGGTCCCGCAAGCGTACCGGGGCGGGTGCGTCGCCCAGTGACGTGGGCCAATCCCGGGCCGGCGTGGGCGGTCCTCCCCCCCACCCCCCCCGCAACGGGTAGACTGGCCCCTCGGCTGCCTCCGGGGCCCCGGCCGGAGACCGAGGCGGGGGCGGGCTCAGGACGTGGCCCAATGGGAGCACGCGCCGGGGCGGCGGGGGGCGGGGCCGAGCGCGCGGCGCAGGGCCGGGCGGCGGAGGCTCCAATGAGCTCGCGCCGCGTCCGGGGCCGGCTGCTGCGCGAGACGCCGCGGAGAGGTTGGTGGCTAATGTAACAGTTTGCAAACCGAGGGGAGTTGTGAAGGGCGCGGGCTGTGGGGCGCTTTGCCGGCCTCGTGGGTTCGTCCGCCGCGGTGTTTGTCCCAGAGCTGGGGTCACAGGACCGGAGGCAAGAGGTAGAGGGTGGGGGGAGGGAGGCGAGCGGGGCCGGCAAGCCCTGCTGGAAGAGGCAGCGTGCTAGCTTCGGGGGTGGGTTGGCGGCTGATTGAGGGCCGCGCGCACGCCAGTGCTCCCAGGGGTGGGCTGGGGCCACTTTTCGGGCATGCGAGCCGCGGTCTTTGTCAGGTGAGACCTAGGTGAACTCGGCGTTACGTTTTTGGGCGCCGCGTTCTTGTGGGCAGCCGGGCTTGGAGGTGGGATGGGGCAGGGGTGCGAGCGGGACCATCCGAAAGGATGCTGCGGAGGAGACAAGCCCCCCTCCTCCCGGCCCATCGTCTCCCAGCGTCACCGTGTCTCAGTTCCTGACCAGGCCCGGCCTGGCTTTCCCCCCCTAGCCGGGGAGCTCCAGGTGTGGGGAGGTAATTGAGCCCTAGGTGTGGATGCCTGGCCGCACCCCAGGTGTCTTAACAGCAGGGACGGTGCCGGGGTGTGCCAGTAACTGCCTGTGCTGCAGACAGTAGACTGGTTTCCTTTCTCCTGTCACCTTCCTTGGGGATGCGGTTGATGGAATCCTCCACCGATGCTGTCTCACCTGGGCCTTTGTGCGGGCACTTCTGGGGATGATTGGAGTGCTGGGAGGGTGGAAAGGGGATGTGAAGTGGGTGGAAAGCCCAAAAGCTCCCCTGTTTGGGATGAGGTTCAGCCTCCTTCACTTACGGCTTCTAATTACAAGTGTTTTTCTCCTCCCCCAGGGGCACGATGACAGCCACAGTCAGGAGACAGAGGCCTAGGAAGCCAGCCTGTTGGGCCTTGATGGCTGTGCTCTTGGCAGACTTGTTGGCACTGAGTGGTGTGTACCCCAGCGGAGGGATCAAGAGAAGAATAAATGAACAAATGATTTGATGCATGGTGGAAGGGGGGAATGAACTCTGGGTTGGAAGTTTCTGGGCTCTTTGAGTTGCTGGTCTTTGTTCTTGCTGTCTTACTTTTTCCATGGAAATTGGTGTACTTGGATTAGAAGGGTCTCAGGATGGTGGGAGAAGAGGTACTAATTGACCAATCTTATTTCAGACACACTGGCAGTGATGTCCGTGGACCTGGGCAGCGAGTCCATGAAGGTGGCCATCGTGAAACCTGGCGTACCCATGGAAATAGTCTTGAACAAGTGAGGGTGGCCCTAGTGTCAGGGGCTGGAAGATAGGGAGTCTGGGGTGATGTGTATTCTTTGTAGTGCCACGACAACAGACCTTGGTGACGGTATAAGTGGGGTATCCAGGCTCCTAAGTCTACACTCTCTGTAGGCACATACGCCCAATGTTTCTTTTCTTCAGGGAATCACGGAGGAAAACCCCAGTGACTGTGACCCTGAAAGAAAATGAAAGATTCTTTGGAGACAGTGCGGCAAGCATGGTGAGGAAGCCACCTCCCACTACCCCGAAGTGATGGGCAGGAGAGGAGCTGACAGACCCTGGAGTATTCCCTCATCAGCGCCAGGTCTGACAGGTAGGCGGTGATGGGCTTGGGAGCCTAATACTTTATTCTTTCTTGATTTCTTCTTAGGCCATCAAGAATCCAAAGGCTACACTTCGTTACTTCCAGCACCTCTTGGGGAAACAGGAACATAACCCCCATGTGGCACTTTACAAAACCCGCTTCCCAGAGCATGAGCTAGGCTTCGACCCACAGAGGCAGACTGTGCGCTTCCAAATCAGCCCGTGAGTGCTCAGGGCAGGAGACGCAGGGGGTGGCGACTCAGGCCTGTGGGCCCCTCTCTGACACTAGCTCATATTGTCCTTACCTTCATGTCTGCCTTTGCTTGCCCTAACCTCCTCCATCCCATTCCCAGGCAGCTGCAGTTCTCACCTGAGGAGGTACTGGGCATGGTTCTCAATTACTCCCGTTCCTTGGCTGAAGATTTTGCAGGTGAGCAACCAGTTTTCTCAGGTCCAATAGGGGGGTGTGTTTTGTTTCCCAGGGAACATTTAGCTATGTCTGAAGACATTTTTGGTTGTCACAGTTGGGGAGCTGCCACCAGCCTGTAATGAAGTAAAAGAATGCTACCGAACATCCTATAACATACAGGACAGCCACCCACAACAGAGTTTTTTGGTCCCAAAAGTCAGTAGTGCCAGTTTGGGAAACCCTTGAACCCTCATGTAAGGAATAGAGCTGGCGGAAACCCTGTTGTGTTGTCCTCTGTAGAGCAGCCCATTAAGGATGCCGTGATTACCGTGCCAGCCTTCTTCAACCAGGCTGAGCGCCGGGCCGTGCTGCAGGCAGCTCGCATGGCTGGCCTCAAAGTGCTGCAGCTCATCAATGACAACACCGCCACTGCCCTCAGCTATGGCGTCTTCCGCCGGAAAGATATCAACTCCACTGCTCAGGTGAGCCAGGGAGTAACTTCTAAACAGACTTGCAGGGGACCTAGGGGCCTGATTCTGAGGATAGAGATGCTACTTGGCCCCTTTGCATCACGTTTGTATGACTGGCCCTTGGCAAAATACAGCAGCAGCCTCTTCTCAACCCCGTTGGAGCTGTTCAGCTTTAAGTTGAGGCTTGGTGTAGTCCCTTGGAGAGGCAGGCAGCAGCCTGGAGTTGGATGAGGTTCCTGTGACAGTGACCTCCGTGTCTCTACAGAATATCATGTTCTATGACATGGGCTCAGGCAGCACTGTGTGCACCATCGTCACCTACCAGACTGTGAAGACGAAGGAGGCGGGGGTGCAGCCACAGCTGCAGATCCGGGGCGTGGGGTAAGTGGGCCCTGGGAGGAGGACTGCTTGCTGGTATCTTTGGGTCGGGGTTCTCGGAGGAGCCTTCAATCACCTGCTCCCTACAGCAGTGCTCCTAGTTACTAAGGTGCCACTCATTGTAGGGTGCCTTTTCCAAAAAAAGCAAGAGAAATTGCAGAGTAGGGGAGGCAGTTTCAAGATTGAAAGTCGGGGAGCTTTCTGCACTTCTAAGAAAGTCCACACGGCTGTAGGTCATGTGTAGGGTGTCGTGTTCGGTTTTGTTTGTTTGTTTGTTTGTTTGTTTTCTGTCGTTATGTCCATTTTACACATCACTGACCTGGTCTTATTTCTTGAACCTGTCTTTTCGTCTTTGTACTACCACCCTAGTTCAAGCTACATTCGCTGCCACCTCCAGTGCAGCCTCCCTCCAGTTTTTTGTCCATAGGCAGCCAGAGGGGCTTTTTTCAGAACACCACAGTGGCTTTGAATTTTGACCTTGGTCTGGGACTTGACTGTCCCTCTGTGGCCTCATCTCTTCTGCTGTCTTTAACCCTCAGTCCTTGTGTTCCTTGTGCCTTAGCTATACTTGCTCTCCTGGAAATTTGCTCACAAGGCTGCTTCCCAGCTCGGGGTCTGTACACATACTGCCTGGAACTTTTTTCCCTCTCCTTTTTGCCTGGTTATTTCCCATCTCCTTCCTGTTTCCATCCAAGCATCATTTCACAGTTGACCTGACATCTCCCAGTAGCTGCAACTTCCCGTGTGTGTGATGGCTCTCTGCCTCTCCTTTTAACATATGGGTGATGGGAGTTTCAATTTATACAGTTATTGCTGGATTATAAATTTCTGTAGTTTTTTTCTAATGTGTACATAAGAACTGGGGTATAGGATGGAGGGTGTGGGAGTGAGAGAATTCACCAGAGACAGTAGGGTGCAGAACAGGAAGATCTGCTAACGGTAGCAGTGGCTAAAACGGGGAGAGGTCTGCTGCGCCATGTGGGTCACCTCCCTGACTGGGGATCAAACTCAGGCAGTGACAGCACTGAGACTTAACCCCTAGGCCACTAGGGAGGCCCTGGATTATAAACTTTTAGACATCAAAGGCCCTGTCTTTTTTTTTCCACCCCCTGCCCCCACCCCTCCCCACAGAGACACTACATAGTTGACGCCCAAGTGAATACTGTAGGGTGACTTGTCACTGTGAGATGTCAGCAATGTGGGGTGATAGGTTCAGTGTACCTCAAAGGATCCTTACATACACTTTCCCCCTCCTTTCCTCAACAGCTTTGATCGCACCCTGGGGGGTCTGGAGATGGAGCTTCGGTTGCGTGAGCACCTGGCCGGGCTTTTCAATGAGCAGCGCAAGGGTCAGGGTGCAAAAGACGTGAGGGAGAACCCCCGTGCCATGGCTAAGCTACTGCGTGAGGCTAATCGCCTCAAAACTGTGCTGAGTGCCAATGCTGACCACATGGCACAGGTACCCATGTGTGAATGAGGGCAAATGTTCAATAGGGAGGTAGAGAGAAGGGGTGGTAGGTTAAGGTGGGCTAAGTGGGGGCTGGCATCCAGAACTGGCTACTGGAGCCTGGTTTGTTCCAACCCTTCTCCCATGCCTCTTGCTGTCCTCCCAGAGTCCTATTATCTTAGGTTCTGTCCTGCCCACCCAGACTGCAGGACCCAGCCAAGCGCTCCCTGACACTCCTCTCCCTGCTCCTAGATTGAGGGCTTGATGGACGATGTGGACTTCAAGGCTAAAGTGACTCGAGTGGAGTTTGAGGAGCTGTGTGCAGACCTGTTTGAGCGTGTGCCTGGGCCTGTGCAGCAGGCCCTCCAGAGTGCTGAAATGAATCTGGTGAGGAGGTAGCTGGAGGTGGGCATGGCGGTAGACAAGTAGAATGGAGAGGAAGGAGCAAGGGCGCCAAGGGCAGTCGGTGCTGAGGAGAGTCTTACCTGTCCCATCTCACTTCTTTCCACAGGATGAGATTGAACAGGTGATCCTGGTGGGTGGGGCCACTCGGGTCCCCAAAGTTCAGGAGGTGCTGCTGAAGGCAGTGGGCAAGTGAGTATGGGGGCTGGGTAGTTGAAGGGAGGGTTGCTGGCTGGATGCCAGAGTAATGGTGCTGAAGACTGGGGTTTTCACAGGGAAGAGCTTGGGAAGAACATCAATGCGGATGAAGCCGCAGCTATGGGTGCTGTGTACCAGGCGGCTGCGCTCAGCAAGGCCTTCAAGGTGAAGCCGTTTGTAGTCCGAGATGCGGTGATCTACCCCATCCTGGTGAGTGAGCCTGTCTATCAGGCGGTCAGCCCCATTACCTCTCCGAGTGTAGCTTCCCTTCTGTATGGTCTAGCCTGTCCCTTTGTCTTTCTGGCAGTTGATGGTCCCACCCACCCTCTCCCCAAAACCTGCCCTGGTCCTCCATTTCTCCTCTGTCTGCTCTGTAGGTGGAGTTCACAAGGGAGGTGGAGGAGGACCCCGGCATTCGCAGCCTGAAACACAATAAGCGAGTTCTCTTCTCCCGGATGGGTCCCTACCCTCAACGCAAAGTCATCACCTTCAACCGCTACAGCCACGATTTCAACTTCCACATCAACTATGGTGACCTGGGCTTCCTGGGTCCTGAGGATCTCCGGTGAGTAGGTGGAGCAGGCAGAACTCCAGGGAGGGAGGGTTGGGACCTGCATACCTGACGGGGTTGCTGGCTGTGGGTTGGAGTTGGGGTGAGTCGTCTTTGGAGCTCGCTTCCTTCCTCTTGAGCATACCCTCACTCAGGGAAAGCCCCAACTTCTCGTGTAGAGAGGTGGTGGTGTCTCGAACTAGAGAGGCATAGCAAACTGCTCTCTTTTCCCCAACCAGGGTGTTTGGCTCCCAGAATCTGACCACAGTGAACCTAAAAGGTGTGGGCGAGAGCTTCAAAAAGTATCCCAACTACGAGTCCAAGGGTATCAAGGCTCACTTCAACCTGGACGAGAGTGGTGTGCTCAGCCTGGACAGGGTGAGAGCAGGAGACACTGTGTGGGGCGAGGGCCAGATCCCAGCCCTGGGTTCCTGGTGGTGTTAGAATATGACAAAAGAAAGGACTTGGGGGTTAGATAAGCTTTGTTCTAAACATCCCTAACCAGAGGCCTGGTGTGGGCCTTCTTGGAGCCTTAAATCCTGACTGGCTGTCAGTTTCTTAGGGGGATCTGCGAATGGCTGCGGAACTCATTTCTCGTCAATTCTGGAATCAGTGTCTTTTTGAACTTACTCTGGGAAATATTGGCTTTTTTTTTTTAAAGATTTATTTATTTATGCATATAAGAACTGAGGTACAGTCAGGAGTGGAGAGAGGGGGTTGGTGTGAGAGGATTCACCAGAATCAGAATGGGGAACAGAACAAGCAGATCTACTGAAACACACTGCTGAGGAGAAGGCGGGCGAGACAGGAGAGGCCTGCTGTACCATGTGGGTCAGCTCCTGGGCTGGGGATTGAACTTGTGCCACAGTGGTTGGCGATAGCTTGATAGCACTGAGTAATCCTTAGCCACCAGGGAGGTCCAATACTGGCTTGTTCTGTTGGGTGAAGTGCAGGTTCTGGGAGAAAGAAACTATGATCCTGTTCTAAAAAAGCTCAGAATCAAAAGGGAGGAGGAGACCTTGATCCAAGAGCCCTTAGTAGAAGGCACGTGAGAGTAGGCCAGCTGCAGTCACGTGGCTGTGCACAGACATCTAGCTTGCGAGTGTCCTCACTTTAAATTCCTGTTTTCAGGTGGAGTCTGTGTTTGAGACACTGGTGGAAGATAGCCATGAGGAGGAATCTACCCTTACCAGTAAGATGTGTGTGCGTTCATGTATGTGTGAGAGAGAATGTACTTGTGTGCATTTCAGGGAGGTGGGCAGGCTTTCCCTTGGGTAGAAGCGGGGGTCACTCTGTGGCCCCCTTTGAGTTTGGGGCTTTCTTCCCTGTAGAACTTGGCAACACCATCTCCAGCCTGTTTGGAGGTGGAACCACAGCAGATTCCAAAGAAAATGGTACAGATACGGTCCAGGTGAGCCTGGGCTGGAGCTGGGGAGCATGGTGCAGGCCTCCAGGGCCCAGGTAGAGGCAATAGAGGCTCTGGGAGTTGGGGTGGGTGTCCTAAGTGTTAGGGTTTACCAGGGTCCCTTCCTCTCAGCCCAGACTGAATTAACCATCCCTCCTCCATACCTTGCACTGTCCCTGTGTGGGAGCTCCGGGCCCCATCTGATCTCCAGACACACCTGCTTTGTTCAGCTATACTGCTGCAGTCTAAATCGCACCCTCACCATTGATGAGTGAGCCCCAGAGCATGGGGACCTGGCATTGCCCAGCACATCTCAACCCATGGGTTTTGCTAGTGACTTATCTGCAGTGTGTCTGTGACCATTTCCCAAGGAGGAAGAGGAGAGCCCAGCTGAGGGGAGCAAAGATGAACCTGGAGAACAGGCAGAGCTCAAGGAGGAAACTGAGGCCCCAGTGGAGGACACCTCTCCACCCCCACCCGCTGAGCCAAAGGGGGATGCAGCCCCTGAGGGAGAAAAGGCTGCAACAAAAGATGACAAGGAACAGTCTGAGGCCCAGGTGAGCTCAGACAGTAGAAGGCTAATCTGGGAGGCTGGGAAACTGATGCTTTCCATGTTTATCTGTTGGAACCCGCCTGTGAAGAAGGTCAGTCAGAGGGCATAGACTTTCCCTGACAGCCTCATCTTCACCCCCAGAAGCCAAGTGAGAAGGGGGAGGCAGGGGCTGAGAGTGCCCCTCCAACCCCAGAGGAAGAAAAGAAGCAGAAGCCTGCCCGAAAGCAGAAAATGGTGGAGGAGATAGGGGTGGAGCTAGTTGTTCTGGACCTGCCTGACTTGCCTGAGGACGAGCTGGCCCGTTCTGTACAGAGGCGAGTAAAGTCTGAGCTTGTGTTGGGGTCAGGGAGGGGACAGGGTGGAATGGCACCTCTGGGACAGTCTGCCAGGGCCAAGTGAACACGTCTTCTCCCTCGAGCCTGCTCCGCCTTTGTCCCACAGACTACAGGACTTGACGCTCCGAGACCTAGAGAAGCAGGAGCGGGAGAAGGCAGCCAACAGCTTGGAAGCTTTCATCTTTGAGACGCAGGTAGGCAGGCTGGGAGGCACGCCTACCCGGGGAGGGCTGGCTCGGGCCTTGCCTTCAGGGGCTCTCTGCCTGCTTGCGCTGGTTGCGCCTCCCTAGGACAAGCTGTACCAGCCCGAGTACCAGGAAGTATCCACTGAGGAGCAGCGTGAGGAGATCTCTGGGAAACTCAGTGCTGCTTCTACCTGGCTGGAGGATGAGGGCTTTGGGGCTACCACAGTGGTAAGTGTCTCCCCGGCAGAGGGGTGCTCTTGTTCCTCTCGCAGGGTCAGAGAAAGAAGAGCTGGGGTGTGCTGTTACCCCTCCAACCTTCTCTGTCTCCTCCTACCCCCATGTCTATCAGATGTTGAAGGAGAAGCTGGCAGAACTGAGGAAGCTGTGTCAAGGGTTGTTTTTTCGGGTAGAAGAGCGCAGGAAATGGCCGGAACGACTGTCTGCCCTCGATAATCTCCTCAATCATTCCAGCATGTTCCTCAAGTGAGCAGCCCCTTTGCCTTTTCTTCTTTGTTCAGTCCTGCTAAGACCACCTGCTCTCATTCCCGTTAGCAAACCCTTCTTCCTCCTAGACTGATTTATCCTTTGGCTTCCAGGGGAGCCCGGCTCATCCCAGAGATGGACCAGATCTTCACTGAAGTGGAGATGACCACGTTAGAGAAGATCATCAACGAGACCTGGGTAACTCTTGTTTACGTACTTCATTGGAGACTTTGCTAGGCATGCCATCCTAGGCTGCCTTTGCCTCCTGGTTTAGCAGCTTCCCTAGTTGGGAAGGCAAAAGATGTTTGTGTGTGAACAATCCCAAACAAGGGTCACAGACATTAGAGCTGAGGACCAGCCAAGCCTGTGCCTTTGAGACTAGAGAAAGCTGCTTTGATTAGCTGGCACCTGCGCTGGACTCAGAAAGTGGGCCGGGTTCGGATAGTAGAGTGTGACTTGCCATGTGAAGCAGAGATTGTTTTGAATATGGCGGAGCTTTTGTTTATTTATTTTGAAGGTTGTTTATGCATACAAGAGCTGGGGTACAGGCCAGTGGTGTGTGGGGTGAGAGGATTCACCAGAGACAGACTGAGAAACAGAACAGGCAGGTGCACTGAAATATACTGAAGGGAGCAGCAAGTGAGACAGGAGAGGTCTGCTGCACCATGTAGGTCAGTCACCTCCCTGGCCAGAGATCGAGCTCATGCTGTAGTGGCTTTGGATAACTTCAGAGTGCTGAGACTTAATCCCTTATACCACCAAGGATGCTCTCAGGAACTTTTTTTGAACCAGAGCTCAGGAGTGGAGAGACAGGAAGGAGGTTCAGTCAGTACTCCAAAAGGTAATTGAATGGAAACCAGAGTGTGTAGTTTAGAACTCCACTGTGGAGGTCTGCAGGAGAGTCTGAAACTGGTTGTTTCTGGGACAGAGAAACTTCTCTCTCAGTGACTAGCTCTGAGACTCGATCTCTCCCACAGACCTGGAAGAATACAACTATGGCTGAGCAGGCCAAACTTCCTGCCACGGAGAAGCCTGTGTTGCTCTCAAAAGACATCGAGGCCAAGATGATGGCCCTGGACCGCGAGGTGCAGTATCTACTCAATAAGGCCAAGTTCACCAAGCCTCGGCCCCGGCCCAAGGACAAGGATAAGAATGGAACGCGGGCAGAGCCTCCTCGCAATGCCAGTGACCAGGGGGAGAAGGTCATCCCTCCACCAGGTGAGGGCAGAGTCCCTGCCTCCAGGTGCTGCTAGACAGACCTCCTTTCCCTCCTTGGACAACATTGTACCCTTGTTCCCTCCAGGTCAGACTGAGGATGCAAAGCCCCTTTCAGAACCTGAGAAAGAGACTCGTAAGTTGGGGAAACTGACTTGGCATCTGGATAATGTTTAGCCGAGGGGTTGGCAAAGGAGATGGGTACCTACCCACAGGCAAAGAATTAAGAAGCAGTAGTGATTTTTCCCAAATTAGGGACCACGGCATAGCTTTAGGGAAGACAGTTTCCACATAATTACTCCAGAAGGAATGGAGAGCTGTTGTCTCCTTCCCCTCATCACTGACAGACATGATCTGTTTATGGATGGTCCTCCAGTTATGAGCAGCTGTTGCATTTTTAGAAGGTCACTTTTTTTAAATTATCTATGCTTATGAACTAAAAAACAATCTATTTGCATGTGCACATACACAAGCATACAAAGTGACGAGGCGTGGATCAGCCCCTGAAGCAGCAACTGTGTGACTGTTACAGAAGAAGCTTGCTAACGCCTCCATGACCCCTTCTCCCTTCTGCATATGTTAACCTGTTCCTTCCCCAAACAGGGTCTGAAGCAGCAGACACCGAACCTCTGGAGTTAGGAGGTCCTGGAGCAGGTGAGGATGGAGCAGAGGGTGCCTGAGAGGGAGGGCCTAGGGAAGGTGTCTGACTCCAGCCTGCTGCTATTCTTCTGCTCTCCCTACCTCCCAGCAGAATCTGAACAGAAGGAGCAGCCAGCGGGACAGAAGCAAACTTTGAAGAATGACGAACTATAACCCTCGCCTCCCGTTTCCCCGCTCCTCCCTACCCCCTTCTTCTACCACCTCTATTTATTAAACGTTGAGGGTTGGGGGAGAGGGTGGTCCTGCCCTCAAAGACTTAAGTTCCTTTTCTCTCACCTGTGACTGGAGGTGTGAGGAGGGGAAGGAAGCGACAGCTCACCATTCCTTCTGGAGTATTTCTGTGGAAACTGTATTCCCCAAACCCACCCCCTGATTCCCTACCCATCCAGGCCCTAATATGGGGAAAATCACTATTATGTCTTAATTCTTTGCCTGTGGGTAGGTGACAAAGCACCATCAGTGGTTGACAGACCTGGAAGTAGGAAGCATATTCTGGGATAGTAATCTCCAGTCTTCTCTGGCCATTGTTCCTTCTTTCCTTGCCTCTTCATGAAATCAGTGTCACCCCGGGGGCCAGTGTCTACAGAGCCTTGGATACCAGCTTTAGTTGCTGAGTAGCTAAGCTCTTTTTCTCCCTGAGAGTCTTTTCTTTCCCTAAAAAATCCCTGTCTCTTTCCAACTCCTCTTCCAGTGGGTTGCCTTGACTTCATGTGAATTGAGCAGTTCTCTGCCTTCTCCCCAGAACCCTTCACTTGGCTGAAGTAAGCCAGGATGGAGTCCCCCCATACAGGGTAGTCAGGGAGAAAGTGAGGGGAATCCAGCCACCTCTCCAGCCCTGTGGCTCCCACCTGGATACTCAGGCCCAGGAGAGCCAGTGGAAGGCCTGGTGTGGATTGCTGACTTGCTGCCAGCACTGTCAAAATCTGCATCATCCTGGTCACTGGGTACCCCAGGTCCCTTTGACCCCCTACCCACTTATCTCTCCTACTGTTTCTTCTCTCCCTGTTGCCCCCTCCCCCAAGCTGACCAAAATGTGCTGTCTACTGTGAGACCCTACCCTGAGGTCCTGGGGGAAAGAGACCATGGTGTGAACTCACAAGGGCCACCCTGCTTTCTCTTGAGGCAGGCTGTGTGAGTAAAGGAGGAGGGTACAGGCTGGCATTCCCTTCATGAATTGCTCTGAGGCAGGGATGGCAGGGTGGGAGGTTCTTACCCATCCTGCCAGCGCTGAGGGAACCTGTCCTCTAGTGTTCCAACTGTACCTGAGCCGGGGCTGCCTCCCCAGCTCCTTGGGCAAGGCAGAGGAGCCTGGTTATGTCTGTCTTTTGTCTTTTTTTCTCTTCCTTTTTTTTTTTTTTTTTTTTTTTTTTGCCACATTGGCAGAAATGAAACTTAAGGATCACCCCCTCCTATGTTTGAGCTCTTTCACTAGCATTTGAGGCTGGTTGAACAGGTTTGAGTAACATTGTACTTTGCTCCATTGTTAATTGAAAAACTGTTTGAATAAAATATTCTTTTCTATAGTTTTGGTTGCTGGCTTTTATTTCCTCAATACAAATAATGCGTGCCGATTATAAAAAATTAGGAAAATAAAAGTTTGAATAAAAACACCAAAGCATTAATATTCTGAGCTTAAGTTGAGATGCATGCATGTAATTTGTCATCTACACTGACATTTGAACTCAGACATTTTCTTTTCTTTAAGATTTATTTATTTATTCATACACACCTGGGGTGCAAGCCAGAGGCGCAGGGGCAGTGAGGATTCACCAGGGACAGAGTGGGTAGCAGAACAGGCAGATCGATGAAGTACACCACTGAGGGGAGCAGCAGGCAGGTCTGGAGTGGTCTGCCATGCCATGTGGATCACCTCTGGGGCAGGGGTTCGAACTCACTGAAGTGGTTTTAGCTTCCTAGTGCTGTTTAACCCACTGTACCACCAGGGAGACATTTTTAAGGAAACCCCACTTTACAAGTAAGTTGACAATTCACATGATCCAAGCAATTGAGTATTAAATGCCTCAGCTAAGTTTGAACTTAATTCTGACCCATTAACCCTTTTTCTTTGAATGCTGCCACAAGACTTTGCTAGAAAGTCACCACCAGTCACTGTACCATTAATTCTGACTGATGATCAGTTGTGAAAGAGTCGTTTTACCAAGAGATCATGGGTAAGTACTGGAATATATGAGCATGGGGCCTTCCTGGTGCGCAAGGGGTTAAGTCTCAGCACCAGTGAAGCTATCCTCTGCCACTGGCCACTTGGCCACTGCAGCACAAATTCCATCCCCACTTAAGGAGCTGACCCACATGGCCCAATAGGCATCTCCTGGAGCCCACTGCTCCCCTCAGCAGTGTATTTCAGTCAATCTGCCTTTTCTGCTCCCCACTGTATGATGAATCCTGCCTTCTGCACCTCTGGCCTATGTGTACATAGATAAAGCTTTAAAAAATATATAATCATGCAGGTTAATTTTGCTCTGAAAATAATAGACTACTTTTTTGGAGCAGTTTTAGATAAGCAGCAAAAGCAAATCAGTGTTCCTACAAACCCCTCGATTCCATAGCCCCTCATCAACATCCCAATCAGAGTAGTACATCTGTTACAATTGAACCTACACGTCATCTCACCCAGTAGCCATAGTGTGCATTAGGGTTCACTTGTGGCAGTTTTTGATTTGGGTTTGAACAAATGGATGATGAGATGTACCCATTATACCATAAGTAGTTTCACTGCTCTAAAAATCTGTTCCACCTACTCATCCCTTCCTCCCTCTAGTCCCTAGCAACCACAATCTTATTACTATCTACTTTCTGCCTTTACCAGGAAGTCATATTGATGGAATTGTGTAGTATGTGGCTTTTTCAGCTTGACTTCTTTCATTTCATATATGCGTTTAAGCTTCTGCCATGTGTTTTCATGGCTTGATAACTCATTTATTTTTTCTATTGCATAATATTACTTTGGATGTACCACAGTTGATCTATTCACTCACGAAGGCAACTTAGTTGCTTTTCCAGCATTTGGCAGTTATGAATAAAGCTGTGGGCCCTGGTGCAAAGGGTTAAACCTCAGCGCTTTGAAGCTACCCCGGCCACTGTAACACAAGTTTGATCCCTGGGCAGGGAGCTGACCCACATGGTGTGGCAGAGCTCTCGACCGGCCCGCTGCTCCCCTCAGCAGTGTCCTTTGTCGATCTGCCTCTTCTGCTCTCCACTCTGTCTCTGGTGAATCCTCTAGCCACCACCACCACCACCCACCCCCTGCTCCTCTGACCTGTACCCTGTACCCCAGTTCTGTATACATAAATAATCTTTTTTTTGAAAAATGAGGGACCTTTCCTTGTGGCACAACACGCTAAAGCACAGCACTCTGAAGCTGTCTGCAGCTACTGCAGCTCAAGTTTGATCCCCACCAGGGAGCTGACCCACATGGCGCAGCAGACCTCTCCTTTCTCGCCTGCTGCTCCCCTCAGCAGTATATTCAGCCAGTCCTCCTATTCTGCTCCCTACTCTGTCTCTGGTGAATCCTTTCACTAGAGGATGCTTGTATGTGTAAATAAGTAAAAGAATCTTTTTTAAAAATTGTCAGAATAGATTGTTTTTATTTCATCCCAGGTGTAAGGATGAAGGCAATGTCTTGCTTAATTTTTCCTAAAACCTTAGAATTGGCTTATCGGAGAGGTAGCAAGATTGTTCTTAAATCCTGACTGTTGCTTCTTAGTCCTGTCTGTACCTCAGTTTTCTCATAGCATTGCATTTAACTCATAGAGTTGTTGTGAGAATAAAAACAGAAATCATGTGGAAACACTCTTGGAAAAGTGCCTAGCATATAATAAACACTGTTGAAAGGTTTGCTGTTATTATTAACCTGCTAGGAAACCTGAAACCAATTTACAGATGAAGGCAACATGGGGTGGAATTCAGTGGCAGAATTAATTTACTCTGAGAAGGAGGTAATATTACTGCTAAAAAAAAAAAAACTTAAGGAATTGATCAAGAAATTCAACATAAACATGGGTCTAACAATAAAGGGTATGGGGCCTCCCTGATGACACAGGGGCTAAAGTCTGAGCACTATCAAGCTATCACCAGCCACTGTGACTTGAGCTTGATACCTGGCCAGGGAGGTGACCCATATGACACAGCAGACCTCTCCTGTCTCACCCGTTGCTCCCCTCAACAGTGTATTTTGTAGATCTGCCTGATCTGCTCTCCACTCTGTCTCTGATTAATTCTTTCACCCTACACACCTCTGGTCTACACTCCAGATCTTGTGTGCAAAAATAAACAAATCTTTTAAAGAAAACACCAATAAGCTGAAAATAAAAATATATAAAGTAATATTTAATAGAAATAGTAAGCAAAAGAAAGCTGGGGTAGGCTATCCTAATTTCAGACAAAATAGACTTTGAATCAAAAACTATTATGAGGAAAAGAAAAACATCATATATTAATAAAAGTCAATTAATCAAGAGGACACAGCAATTGTAAACATACCTACCAAACAAAAGAGATCCCAAATATGTAAAGCATGCAATGACAGGCTTGGAGAGAGAAGTAGATATTAGTAGTTCCTCAATAATAGTGGATATTTCAAGACTCCAGTGTCAACAGCAGATAGCACACCTAGATAGAAGATCCTTGATATGACATCTGATCAGAAATATTCTTTTGTAATGTGGCCAAATCTATTATGCCTTTCTTTAGTGATTTTTTCAGTGGATTTTAAAGATTAAAAAGTACTTTATTCAGCAACTACTTTGGTGATTTTATTTTATTTTTTTTTAAATTTGAAGTAAGTTTATTTGAATAAGTCGCTTTATTTGAAGTATAAACTATGTAGGATTCATTTCTTTTGGAGCAATTTATCCCTAATTAAAGATAGCTTGTCCTGATGCAACAGCTATGTGCAAAAAAGTTATAAAGTGGTCCTTGGTTTTGCACCAAAAACCATGAAAATTCTCTAGTTAAGCAAGATATTCAAGGGTTTTCATATTCTCCTTTTTTGATGTTAAACATTTGGAAAAATAACTAACAGGAAGATAAAGGTAAGAGGTGACTGAGTAAACCACTAATGCAGACAAACAAAATTAAAAATTTTTAAAGATTGTGATATCTATCAAAACATACCATTGGCTATTTATGAGAGAAAAAAATGGCATGTGCTTGTGCATACACAGCTACTTTATGTGCAATAAAGGAACGGGGAAAGGAGAAAAGGAAAGAATAGAGAAAATTATTTTTTGGTAGCCAGGATGTGATGAACCAACTTGCAGTTTTCTGACAGTCTTCCTGGTCTGGAGGGACAGATTTCTGGAGTGCAGAGCCTGAGTCTCTTTTTCGTAGGTGCCTCTTGGAATACTGCAGCTGGAACATCAATGGCATTTCGTCCCCCTTTTCCAACCATGCAGATGTGTCTATTTCTTTAGTTGGCCATCAATCAAATCAGAATCTGATTTCCCCCAAGACAAACCCTGCCATTCACAGTAGGCTTTTGTTAGTTTACTATTATCTTCTTTAAAATGCACCACAGAACTATCCTGACCCTCAGCCCCCCACCCTCAATTAACATGATCACACGATCATAGTTCTCTTCACATGATCATAGTTCTAGGTCTTTTTTTGTGTGTAATGTTTATTTATTTATGCATACAGAACTGGGGTACAGGCCAGAGGTGCAGGGGCGGTCAGAGGATTCACCAGAGACAGAGTGGGAAGCAGAACAGGCAGATCGATGAAGTACACCGCTGAGGGGAGCAGTGGGGAGAAAGGAGAGGTCTGCTGTGCCATGTGGGTCACCTCCAGGCTGGGATGGAATTCGCACTGAAATGGCTGGGGCCAGCTTGCACTGCTGGCTTTAACCTGTTGTGCCACCGGGGAGGGCCACGCGGTTCTGTTTTGACTCTTTTCTTGGACTTTGTCCAGAGTCTCCTCAGCTGCTACTTTGCAAAGAAGATCCAGGTCCTCACCAAATAAGCACCAGCAGTTTTATGTTATCACATGGCATGCCTTAATCTATCTGGAATTTATTCCACAAAGGAGATATAAGCATATTTTTTCTAAATAATCAGACAATTATACTATTTGTTAATTAACCCACCCCCTTCACTTCTTTTGGATGTCCTAGTTCTTACGATTAAAATCATATATGCAACGGTCTGTTTCTAGTACATTTTGTTCCTCTAAATGCCTGGTTGTGCTTTAAACCACATAATTATGATAATCTTAAAATTATAATATTTGGCAATGGAAATTCTCCACTTGTTTCCTCCTGTTTGTTTTACTTCTTTTCAAGTTTCTTAACTCTAATGACACTATTTTTCCTGGTGATCTTTAAAATAATTTTGTCTAATTTCCAAGAAATTCTATTGAGATACTGATTTTTTTTTTAAAGATTTATTT